AGCATTCTTATCTGGAAAAAGAAGGAATTCCGTTTGGCACTTTAACTGAAAATAGGTAGCTTTTGTAAAACAATTGTTGTTTAGTCGCGAAGTCGAGTCCAAATTGAATACGCACTTCATCTTAATATGAATTATAATAGCAGTTCTCAGTTTTTTGAATAACTTTCAAACCATTGTTATCTCAGTACAGTTTGCTTCATGGGAATTCCTTTTTAAAATAAACATTGCACTGGCTGGATATTAAATTAAAGGTCTATATTAGAAGCTGTGATTTTATACTCTCCAGTGCTTTCATATTCACAGACAATTCGGGGTTTATAGTCACAAAATGAAATAAGATTAAAATGGAGAAGAAATAGAAAAGCATACGTTTGTCTTCAAATGGACTGAAATGCTAGAAGTCCTATCTGCCACCACCATTATGGCAGCTTCATTAATTACAAGTCAGAATGGTAAATTAATCTCAGGTTTCTTGTGCATTTCAAAAGCTGCTAGAGATTCACTGTTATAGGTTTGGAATGCCAACTGATAATTTTCTTAGGTACATAGTTCAGCATACCTCTACCCCATCTGTTCTCTTCCTGGGATAAATTATTTAGTATAGAACAGCAATAGCTAGACTAGAAGCAGTTCAAGCTTTCAGCTAGCATGTGAGCTCTGGGGTGATTCTGGGTGACTTTTTGGTAGTGAGGTTTGTCACTGGGGTGCTAACAACGTTTGTGGAAAAGTAGCTGGCACAGAGAGAATTGGTCAGTACTCATTATCTTGAGAAGGGGGCCACTGCAAAATACTTCTGTGTCTGCAGTAGTCTGTAAGCACATAATCAGAAAGAATATGAGCAGCTGCAAGGATTCAGGCAGAATTAAATGTGTCTCTGCTTAAACCTTCAGGGTTTTGGAGAAACAGAATGGCAGAAACAAAAGCAGATGGACTTTAAATTTAATAATATTCACCCAAGAATAAAAGATGCTAGTTAGGAAAAAAAAGCCCTCTTTCTCCAATACCCACCCCAGGTTGGAATCAGCCTTTGCAAATGTGTTGAAGTAGAACTTCCTTGCCTCCTTGTTTCACGCTCTGTCCTCCCACCAACAACTACTGTAAAGCTACTTTCAGAACAGTATGCCATGCAGTATGGGAACTGCAGTAAGGAGAAATCTGACCAGGTCTTCCCAGGCCAAACCCTTGTGTAAGTGAAGCAACCTCTGTGACTGGAGCCAAATGTCATGCAGATGTGAGAGGTAGTGCTTTGCTGGATTTCCTCTTCTTCTTGCAGCTCTCCATGCCATGTAGCATACTGTTCTCAAACATCCCCTGACTGGCAGCAGGGGCTTTACGGGGTTGGGGCCATAGCTCAGGAACACAGCATTTACTTTGTATGCAGAAGTTCCCAAATTCAGTCTCTAAATACCTTTAAAGGATCAAGTAGTAGGTCATACAAAAGACCCTGGAGAGCTGCTGCTAGTCAGAGTAAATAATACTGACCTTTATAGACCAGTGGTCTAACTCAGTATAAGGCTTCATGAGCAAGGGGCTGCTTTGGGAAGGGGGGAGAGGGAAAGGACGATTTCTGTAAACTCCATTCACAGGAGCTGGATAACTGGATAACACAGGAAGATGACTAACTGCTGTTCTACTGCTTTTCATGTTCTTTTCAAATCAGTTGTTTGGCAAATTGAGATTTGTTTTTTTTTATATACATAGAACAACTATCCACGTACCTCAATTCGTTTCTAAAATTCTCATGCACCTTGATCCAGTGGCTGGTCACCAAAGCCATTTTGGGCTTGGGAGGACACTTGAACCCTTCTTGCCTTGTACTAGTGGCCTGACTCTGAATTGGTCCCTAATAATTAATTTAGAAAAATTCTGGGAGTTGCAGAAGTACCCATGCCTGATTATCTCCCTGTATTCCTCTAACCTATTTGTAAGTCCTTAAGATTTTGAATTTGTAGGCAGGATTTATGTCATTTTTGTTTGCTTTAATTTATGTAAAGCACTTGGTTTGGTGGTTTAAAGTACGATGTAAATATTTTTAGGAATGTCAGAGATATACTTAAGTCATTGCTGGTAATGATTTTGGTGAGGTGTATGAATGAATAGGTTCAGAGAAGCTTTACTGATGTCACTACTGTGTAAATTAAAAAGAAAATTTGAAAGGGCTGTGAATATCTGCGTATTTGTGTCAGTGGTGATACTAGAATCTGGGCTGCAGCCAATCTGCCTTCCTTGGTGGCACTTCAAAGAACCAAATGAAAATCAGAATTTTCCCCATAACTGGCAGAATCTTCTAGAACCATTTCACTGTGCCCTTGTATCTAAATGTGTTTTAGTGTTTATGAACTAGTAGTATCTTCAGGAATGTATAGGAGGAATAAGAACAATTCATTTTAAGTTTAGAAGCCTTTATGTACACATAATTAAACCTTTCTTACATAAGTAGGAACTTCCTCCCTCTCCCCTTTAAAAACACCCTGCTGTGCTCAGTCATAGTAGCTAATGAGGCATTTTCAGGATCACTTAAGCATGAGGATAATAATGTCTAAAACCCATTGATGGGTGGTGGGTTTTTTTAAAATTTGTTTAATCACACATTTTCTTTTTCTAAAAAACAAGTTTTTGTTCTTTAATGAAAACGTTCATGTCATCATTTTTAAGTTCCTTTCTAGAAAAGTTCTTAAATTGAGTGAACCAGTGTTTCAGGTGTGCTGGTAAACCCACTGTTCTCACTCTGTATCACAACTCTTCAAGTTGTATTTATTTGTAATTCATTTTGTTAAAAACATTTATATCCTGCTTTTCTATCCTTATACAGATCATCAGGATGGTGATAATTTCAAAACAACATGTAAAAAGTGACACCCAGTCATAGAGCAGCCAACAAACAATCCTGAACAGTAAAAATAAATACCAGTAACTAATATTAGTATTAGACTGGCCTGTTGTGTCTTCTCCTTTAGAGCCAGAAATATTTTTATCATATTTGATAGTTCATTGACAGTGCTCCAAAAATGCTTATCACATGGCTTGTGGGCTGATAATTTGGTTGCTAGAGGAAACTGAGACATGGGGAGATAGAACTTTTAGCAAGGTTAAGAATACTTGGATGAGGTGGTTTGCACTCAGAATTCTAAGGGGGGATGGGCAATCAGATGGTGGAGAAAGAAAGGAAGCTTTGGTGCAAGATTTTCAGTCCCTCTCGGAGTTAGGTGAGGTTCTTATAGTTCAGTGGGTATTCAGGAGTAAATATTAAATTATGAGCCTTTGGGGTACTTAGTCAATTTTCCCTTTATAAACTATTTTATTTATTTATTTAATTTATACCCCGCCCTCCCCACCGAGGCAGGCTCAAGCGGCTTACATAAAATAATACACAAATAACACAGTAATAACCGTTAAGATCCACATAAAATCATCTAAAAACAGTTCAGTTAAAACAATTCAATATCATTAGGTGCTAGTGATGACTGATTAGATACTTAGTGATGGTGTACTGTATGAGTGCAAGCACATGTAACTAAATGTTCTGCTCAATGATCTTCTTAATATGAGCGGCAGCACAGGCTGTAGATGTCAAAGCCAAGGGCCAGGGCTCTATAATTAACAATTGTTGTTGGTAGTGGTGGTGGTGGCTCCTTAGTTAAAGGCCTGGTGGAAGAGCTCCATCTTGCAGGCCCTGCGGAACTGCAAAAGATCCCACAGGGCCCTGGTTTCTTCCAGGAGCTCATTCCACCAGTGCGGAGCCACCACTGAGAAGGCCCTGGTAGTAACCAGCCTGGCATCCTTGGGACCTGGGAGGGCCAATCGATTTTGAGACTCCAACCATAGTGCTCTCTGGGGTATGTATGGGAAAAGGCAGTCCCTAGACTTAAAAATGAAAAACAGAGTTGGATAGCAACATATTGTACCTCTCCACAATCTTTCCTTAATATCTTTCTGGGCTTGAGAGTTTTAGAAATGCTTGCTTGTTTGAGTTACTGATGCTTCAGTGTAGAGTTTCTCAACTTGATCTGCTGCTTGCCTTTGAATACAGTAAATGTGCTAGTCTTTCAAGACCAGCATTAGTGTTCAGAAGCTCTGATAAGGCTGGCTTCCATTTACATCGTTTTTATTTGAAAGATCTTTGTCACACTTTTCTTCAAAATATTATTGTATGTTACTTTGAGCTTATATGGGAAGATAGATTTTTGGCATGTAGCAACCCACTTTTATGGAACAGGCGTGATTCAGAAAGTGCAGCAGCAGTATTCATAGTATGTGAGCATGAATAGTGACTGCCAAGTTGTGTTTGCCCATGTCAAACAAAATAACTTCTTAAAGTAGCCCACAATGAGGAAGGACAAGTATATACATTGTGGGGGGAGTTACTGCAACATGTATTCACTGTGTAAACGTGTGTGCTGCTTATTTTGAAACTTAGGAAACTAACATCTTGAAATATGGGAATAATGGTGCTGACCCACTTACTGGCAGTTATAAAGATTGCCATGGAGATGTATATGAGGTGTTTTGAACATTCAGAGTGTTTATCAATGCTTAATAATGATGGTAATAATTGTGTTTTTAAAATAGTAAGTAGAATTAGACTGTCAATAAAATAAATCATGCCTCAAGATGCATCTTTCTGATATGTGATATCAAATGTATCAGTGCCACCTACTGATGGCCTTCAGCAAATTTCATGGTTGCAAATCTGGTTAAGAATGCAACTGTCGGGTCTCAACATAACTACCTAACAGACATAAATTCACTAATTCCCTTCCCCCTGGGAGATACAGTTAATTTGAGGCACGGCTCATAGTCTCTTACCTGTATTTCTCACATTCCTTTGAATATTTTATTGAGATGAAACCAGATGAAGTATGTAGCACAGATACATCTTCTGAGTAAAAAGGCTCCATAGTCAAGAACTAGATTTGGTTGTGATAGTACATGCTCATATGTAAATTATTGATGAATAAAAGTGTGCGGTGAACACTGACATTACTCTCTTCATTCCCCAGTCATTCCTCATAAGATTGGCCGCGTCATTGAAGGGAGCCCAGCTGATCACTGTGGGAAACTGAAAGTGGGAGACCGAATTTCGGCAGTGAATGGGCAGTCAATTGTGGACCTCTCACATGAAAATATTGTGCAGCTGATAAAAGAAGCAGGGAACACTGTCACACTCACTGTTGTTGCTGAGGAAGGTAATGAGGTGTCAGCAGTGCTTGTACTATTGCACTGGAAAGTTTCTCTAGACTGCATATTTTACATGGCTGTCTTTATAAAGGAAAATGTTTTACATGCTGCATTATGTCTGTATATGTATTACATCAAGTGACATCAGATAGTCTCTCCAGTAACAATTGATGGAATGCCTCTAACCTGTTGCATATAAACTCTGTTAACTGATGGGGGAGAAAGAGCATTTACTGAAAAGGATATTCTGTAAAAGCATATATCATTCTGCTGTTTTTCACACAAACACCACTAAGCTGAGCTCATTATTTGCTCATCACTAGGTTTGGTGCGAGATTTCATGGGCCCCAGGCAGAAGACCTTTCTTAAGGGTACTCACAGGGCCAAACTAGATGGTGCAGGTTTTAACAAGTTGTGTCCATGTTCCCTGGACCCGACTTGCTTTCCCTGCAGCTTCACAGTAGCTGCAGGGAATGTGTGGGGCCTGGTTTAGAGTGGGACCAAAACATGGGGGGAAGAGGGATTCCAACCCTCCCCTCTGCAGCATTTTCCTGAAGTGAAATGGCTGGATGGGGGGGGGGAGATTTCTGAACATGCAGCATTCATGCCCATGCAGCTCCAAAATAGGATAAATCTCCTCACTGCAGCTATTTTGGCTTTGTGAAACAATGTGGGAGGGGGGAGGAAGGAGCCCCTTCCCCACACTTTGGACCCAAGTCAAATTAGACTCCCCCTCCCACATGCAGACATTCAAAACTGTGTTCCCACAGCTGCTGTGTGGCTGCAGAGAATGTGAGCCCAGACCCAACCAATTTAAAAAGATATTGTGTAGTTTGGCCCTTAGTTAAACTGTGTTGAAGAGGTGCTGCTATGCAGAAACTTTCTTGACAGCTACGTCAAGATGACATGAAATCTGAAGGTGGCAAGGAGGGGGTAGAGAAGGGGAAGTATAACTATTTCATAATGTTTCCTGGGTGACTTAGAGGTGGTGATAGAAATTGTTGTCCTTGATTTCCCCAGACTCTTCCCTCTTTCTTCTCCACAAGTTCAATAGAAGCCTCCTAGACAGGGAAAAAATGAAGTGATTGATACTGAAACCATAGGTGAAATCCAATCCACAATACAGTCTGAAGCACTACCACCAATAATGAAAGAGCTCAAAAAAAAAAAAAAGAGCCTAGTAAATGCCTTATTAAGCAACCATCTCCACAGTGTTATGAATTCTATGGTCCTGTACTGTGACGATATACAGACTTGCCTGACTTTGTATTCTCGGGACGCAGAAAGCAGAACAGCCCTTTGGGACCAGTGAAGGACTCAGCTCTTAACCTGTCCATGCTGTGTTTTAAAACTCCCACCCCCCCAAAAAAAAATCCCCCTACGGCTTCAGCAGTGATTCTTGTGTATGGGTGTATCACTGTCATGTTCACATTTGGTCTTCATTTGTTCCTTCCAATTTTTATAAGCAGTTAGAAGATCTTGTACAACAAAACAGTCTAATTCTCTGACTCGCAAAATAAACTGTTTGCTGATGTGCTTTTCCAAGGTGCTGCTTGTACATTTAATAAAACTTGCTATGGTATTTTTGCCAGAAAAGTAACTTTCTACAGTTTCGAATAATAATGGAATTAAGGCTACATGCTAGTAAAAAAAAGGATCCTCATCACATTTACCACAAATATTTATCATGTTATCATTGTGATACAGAATGTCAACTATTTAATTTACTTGCAGCAAAGAGGCTTTTATACTTACATAATCCATTATTTTTCAATAAAGGTGCTTACATTTTTTTTTTCAAAATCCTAATTCATTTTCTGCCAAAGGAGGGCACCTCAAAGCTATTGCTCTGAATGTGAGCTTATTGCCAGTAAAATTGAGGCTGTTCTAGTCTACTTTGCCCGTAGGTTAGAATCCTCATCATCTCAGATAAATTGCATCCCCTCTTCCTAAGAAAAGTACCCATTTGCAGAAATAACAGGAGTATACAATTTAATGGTTTCAAGGGTTTTAAAGAAATGTTTCAAATACAAAATACAGACCTGAGAATATACAATTTAATATGTAACCCAACATTAAAACTGACCAGTCAATCAGATATCTGTTGTGGGTGACAGAATGTGAACTAGTATACTTTTCACATGTAGAAAATGGAGTATTAAGGATCTGCAGAAATCCATATTGCTCAAAAATATATCATTAAAATTGTTGTTTGTTCAAACTTAAATTCAGTTCAGCTAGACATATCGTTGCAGTACAAGTGGGCAACAGAACTCCAGATCACAAAACATTTGGTGACCACAGTCAGGTTACTCAGGAAAGAGAATGAATACAAAAGACCACATAGTCAATTTCACATCTGGGAGAACAGACTTATTTCCACTAGCCAACCAATAGCAATGAGAATTGCAGAAATACAAACAGCTCTAGAACCAGAGGTTAACATAATAGCCCATCCATTACTGATTTTACTTTTCCCTAAGGTTGCATGTATGAATATGAACCTCTTAAACGACTGAAAAACCTCCTGTGAAGCCTTTCATCTTTCCCCTTTAGCATTAATAAATGTAAATTTTTAATTTTCTTTTTTCCCCTCCAATAGTCTCTTTAATTCTAAGGGGGGAAAACCCTAAATTATGCTTCATGCTCCAGAAAGCATTCTTTTAATATTTTGCACAAAGCAGAAGCTTGTCGCCCCTAGTCATGCAGTAAGTGAAAATGCATGGAGAAGTGGATGAGTAGAGGAGAGGCAAACGTATACAGACAGATGGCCTTTTCCTTACCTGTGCTTATTAATTAGAATTCTAAATGTAAACTAGGAGAAAGTGTTGACATTTGTCTCCATGGAAGATACTTCTTCCAGTCACGTGTCTTAATAAAGCCAAAGGATCCTGTGTTGAACTCCACAAGGCCTTGAATGACTAGGAAATAGAATTTCATAATCTGTATTGTCTGGAAAGCAGTAATATGTACAGAACAATAGTCTTGCCTTTACCATAATGCTTTGTAAACTTGGATGAATTTACATTCTCTAAAAAAGCTTTAATTCAGCACACATAGGCTCTCCAGGGTGACAAGTCTGCAAGCCTTTTCACTGCAAACATTTTCTTCTTGGTTTATTTACACTCAGAGTCTTGAAAGATTTACTGCTTTGCTTTGAACTTCGCTTTAGCTTAAAATGTGCCCTTAAAGTTTTTTTTGAGGGGGGGTCAGTTAGTCATTGCTGCTTTCTGAGTGGGAGAAGCAACTTTATATTTTAGAGCATATTTGTTTTGTAAATGAAGTTGGACTTCCCATGTGGTCCTGATCAATGTACATCCCGTGCTGGAGGCAGAGGCACTTCCTTCGAGGATTTTGCTAACTGGCAAACTGCTGCGTGGTTCAAAGGTTTTCGGTAGCCTTGCCACAAGAGTTCTTAATATATTGACTAACCAGTATATTAACATGCACTTTAGGAATAGTTATTAACCTGTTCCAGTTAGTGGCTGAGCCATTCCAGGAATGTCAGCAGCTTTGGATGTTTAGAAAGAGCAGTGGGAAATACAACAACTGTTATTTAACTCTGCCTATATGTGCAAGGGTACCCCTTATCTTCATTTTTTTTCTTCATTAGAGCACCGCGGTCCCCCCTCAGGAACAAATTCTGCCAAACAAAGTCCAGCTCTACAGCACCGATCAGTAGGAACAGGACCAGTCACCTCTGTGACCACAGAGAGGTACGAAGGGGTACTGCTTGGCTGTGAATCTGCACCCAGAGCTGGCCGATTCTGTGGGACTTTCTCAACCCCCTAACAGTGCCAGTACCAACGTTCTTTATCCAGTGCTGTCTAGAGGAATATATTTATGCTTTTCTACTGGGTTCTTTGTACAGCATGTATTTTATATGGAGCAGTCTGTACTTATCTTCTTTTGGCATGCAAATATTATTGTTTTCTTGTGGTGAAAGTGAGTAATTGCAAGTTTACAGGAAGCATAGGAGTCCATACCATTTCATAAGAACATAACATAAGAGAAGCCAATGCTGGATCAGGCCAATGGCCCATCCAGTCCAACACTCTGTCACACAGTGGCCAAAAATCCCAGGTGCCATCAGGAGGTCCAGCAGTGGGGCCTGGATACTAGAAGCCCTCCCACTGTTGCCCCCCACAAGCACCAAGAATACAGTGCATCACTTGCCACAGCCTGAGAGTTCCTATCTATATCTTGTGGCTAATAACCACTGATGGACTTCTGTTCCATATCTATATATATAATAGCAAAGGCGCCCCCTGCATGCGGATATCTAAATCTGCACATCGGGGGCACCTGGGAGATCGGTGACAGTCCCCAGGTGTGCACAAAAATCTAAAAAAGTTTAAAAAATATTGGAGGGATATTTAAATCCCCCCAAAAGTAAAAGAGCCTTCCCTGCGCATGCGCAGAGACCACTCTGGGAACTCTGCGGCGGGTTGGCGGTTGGAAGTCGCTCAGGTCTCACCGCAGGAGGGGGGGAGGAAATCTGCGGCGGTGGAGGAGACCGCCGGAGCAGAGGGGCAGGAGGAGATCAGCAGCAGTGGGGGGGGGAGAAGATCCGCAAGGCCGATTAGGCCTCGCTGCCAGAGCCGGGGGTGGTGGAGGAGACCGGGGGAGGGGTGGTGGAGGAGACTGACAAGGCACGAGTCGCTGCTAGCCGCTGGGGCCTTGCTGCTGGAGCTGGGGGTGGTGGAGGAGACCTGGGGAGGGGTGGTG